TGGAGAAATGAAGTCACCTGGTGAACAGGAGCTAGATGCAGTGTTGAATAGTGGGATGGTAAGAGATGGTGATGACTTGGAAAGGCTTTCATCTAGCAGTGGATAGATCACGGCTGCTGCTGATGATGAAAATATATTTGCAGCTGGGAATATAAATAAATACCGCAGATGGCATATCTGCTTGGCAATGTACATTTTGGCTAAAGTCTGCCATGAATTAACACACCTGCATAGAATGATCCAAGTATAAATATTCATCAGTAATAATTCAGTTGTGAACATCTATTGATTTTGATAGCATTTGACAACGTTGATAATAAATGACACACAGTCGTTACAAATAGTTGTGTCAATTACTAAACTTTAAACTGAGCTTGAATCACACACCATCTCATGAATGGTCGACGTGCATCTAAATGTATACTGCTGCAGTATCTGCACTTTGTATGTAAATGAGTGTGCACAATCAGCTGTTATCTGAGAATTCTTAATTGAGTCTTTTATTAGCATGCTGTAAGCATACAGCGTATTAAGAGCTTTCTAAATGCACAGGAATATAATTAGCATATTTAGGAATAAATGGTATGCCTCTCATATAAAATTGATTAACACATTTGTAGTTTCTAACTATATCCTACTCGATTAAGCTATTTTGTGGGAAGAAGTAGTGCAGTTGTTAGCACATTTCATTTTAAAACTGGAGACCTGAGTTGATTTCCCAACCATAGTTAACATCAGCAGCGAATAATATCTGAACAATAATGATGTGTTTTCATATAGCATCCTTTATGCAAATTGCATCTCAAAACGCTGAACATTTTCACCAACCACACGTACATCTGAAAAAAATATTTTAAAAAGTGAACATCACAAAAAGATACGGGAACACTAGAAATAAACACAACGCAACCAAGGGCACAGAAAGTGAAGAAAGCATGGACCAGGCGGGGCAACATCAATCATTCGAGCACTCAAGCTCCCAACATCCAAGGAAAGTCCAGGGGATGATGATAGCAATAATTGAATTTTGTACAGTCATGCACGCAAATAGGACGCCAACACACTGCAACATTGTAAAAACCCGAGCACGCGTCAGCCAAAGGCAACGGTAAACAAGAACGTGTTTAAGTGTGATTCGAATATTGAAAGGGAGCTGAGCTGACGTATCTGCAGTGAGGGTGGGGGTTCATTCCACACATATATGGAGCTGTAAACGAGAGACCGCGTCGGCCAGCAGTCGTGCACTTGATCTTTAGTGTGACTAGCAACTCTAGACTTGCAACTCTAGACTTGCAACTCTAGACTTGCAACTCTAGACTTGCAACTCTAGACTTGCAACTCTAGACTTGCAACTCTAGACTTGCAACTCGAGACTTGCAACTCGAGACTTGCAACTCTAGACTTGCAACTCTAGACTTGCAACTCGAGACTTGCAACTCTAGACTTGCAACTCTAGACTTGCAACTCCAGACTTGCAACTCCAGACTTGCAACTCCAGACTTGCAACTCCAGACTTGCAACTCCAGACTTGCAACTCTAGACTTGCAACTCGAGACTTGCAACTCGAGACTTGCAACTCTAGACTTGCAACTCTAGACTTGCAACTCCAGACTTGCAACTCCAGACTTGCAACTCCAGACTTGCAACTCCAGACTTGCAACTCGAGACTTGCAACTCGAGACTTGCAACCCAAGCGGAGATGAGCGATCCCGGGCCCCCCTCATTCACCAACCAACCTGTACTGATCAAGGTGGTTAAATGTTGAACGTATGAGCTCGCCCTTCATCAAGTAGTGGATTAAGAACAGGCTTTAAATTATCGTTATGTGTATGTTTGTGCATTATTGCATCTGATTGCAATCATTTAGTTGATTGCCTCGTAGGCTGTAAATAACAGTACGGTATGAAAGAAGTTATACGTACATACACTATAAAAATTACAACCCATTGCCTTTTGACCGTGATCAAAGGAAAGCATGGACAATGAATGCCTTATTCGTGCGTATTTTGTGAATGTACTTCATTGGGTTCGTTTTGCTTGAATGGTGCCACTGTTTGGGTACAATTGGGAACATTTCAAAAGTTACATTTATCGGTACCAGAAACTAAGTCTTATTTGTCCTCGTTATTTTGCAATTTAAAATTGACAGATTTTAGGAATATCTTGAAAGCAAATTACAATTCTATTGAGTCTCATTCCCATTGTTATGTTGTCGTCGCTTCAACGCGTTGCTGCGGGGTAGAATTGTGGCTGCACGCCGAGAGACGTTTTGATTACGGAAAGCCACTCGCATCATTTGCAGCTGTGTTGTGCATAATGCCATTGGCAATCGAGCCAAACACTTGATGATTTGCTTAAAATATTCAGAGAACCCCCGAGGCAACAAATAAAAAATCATAAATAATAGGGGTTTACGTCTCGTGTTTTTGGGTATCCAATCAGGAAAAAAAAACTGAAACATCTTGCCAAAAATGTCAGTTCAATTACAATGCATGAAAAATATGGGTTAAGTCAGGTGAATTTACCTCTAGATATAAACACGGACACACACACATACGCACTGACAAACTGCATGCATATAACGATGTTAAATGTAAGTGTTTATTTTTGAATTGGATTAGACCTGAGAATAAGGCAAGATATAAATAGCTGTTCAATATTATTCAGTGGTTTCACAGTGTGTTGTCAGGGTCATGGATTTTTCCTCATTGCATTCTGAAACACCACATTTGTTGTGTTCGTGTGATTTAGACACATTGAAAACCACGAGGCTTTGTCGTTATCCACATAATATGTTGAATTGCAAACACTGATGCATCTTTAAATAAAACCTTTCAGGGAATATTACACTATATATGTATACATTCTACATATCTTTTCGTCAGGCATATGGGCATTTGTTTATTCATGCTAAATAAATAAATGTTTTGCATGAAAAACTTTTGCTTCATGCTGAGCGGTAGATATTGAAGCAAGTAGGGCGGAAAGAAGGCCATATCTTACCTCGTTGGGAACGGAAAGTTGTGCAACTTCAAAACTCCTTGAGCTGAGAGGTGGGATGATATGACACGAGAGTAGGCATGTTAACGAACCCCAGAGGCGTAGCTAGGCGGGGGGGGGGGGGGGGTACATATGTCCCCGGGCGCCAAGGTAAAGGGGCGCCAAAATGAGGCTTACAACGTTACATTATAACTTGTTGCGGCGGGTGCGGCAGCATGAAACTACTGCACACATCTACACCTCAACCAAAAGTGTATATATCCCGCCACACGCAGCCTACATGTCATCTAATTACATTTTGGTATGTGATTAAACGGGGGGGGGGGGGGGGGGGGCGCCAATTTTATAGTTCGTCCCCGGGCGCAAAATATGTTCCTTCTGAAAAGAGGTTATGAGGATGGGTGAAGCTTTCTTGGATAAATACATACCTTTGGAACATCACTATATTGTCACTTGTGGAATGCCACCATGGTGTAATTATTAGCACATTAAATCTCTACAGAGCTACCCACCCAGCAGTATAAATTCGCACACAACAGTCGATTGGCAGGTGGCACGTGGTGCTCCCACCTCTTCCAAGATGTATGTTAAACTTCTTTCGCACCGTATGTTGCCAACAGTATGGCAAAGTAGACCAAAATACCCTATCAGATGCCCTCTTTAGTGGAGACCCTTCTGCCAGCAGTGGTGTTTACATGCAAGCACTCGTGTGGCCAAGGACATCTCTCACTTGGAGGTAATGCCCATCTCTTGGTGATATCTTGGGATGGTATCACTCCAAATTTGCGGGTGTGACCAACGGAATAAATGGAATATTGATTATGCGCAGCATATCTGTAGTAACTGTTTGCTTCACCTGGTGTGGGGAATAATGAATTGCAAATCAATGTCGGCTCTAAGAATAGACCATGACACTGACTATTTCCCGCTCTGAGAAATGTGGATTCACTGCAGAAGTTTTTTTCTTTCAGAAATTACCTTTGCGTGCAACACGAGGCAAATGAAAATTGCATGAAAATTAAATAGAAATGTCAAACTATGGATTTGTAATGTTCTGCAGAGTGCATCGTGGAAGATAAAGAAGTTACATTTGCGCAAAATAAAGAAACCCAAATCACCCAGCCTGACGTCGCAGGAAAACGCCTGCTGATAGAATTTACATTACTTTGCTCGTTGTGCACAAACTACCTCATGAATATTCTTCATTGAACGCGAGCTTGCTATTCTGGTATCATCCAAAATACAATACGGTGCTGAATACTGTAACAAGATAATAATGCAATGGCTGGCTGCTTGTTTACTCTCAAAGATGCACAACTTTATGCTAAAACAGGAAAGAAAATGATCAAACTCATCGCTGTGACTAACGTCTGCAATAAAATTGCAACATTTTCCTTTCGGAGATCAGTTAGTTCTACCAGCGTTTCAAATAGCCTGGTTCAACATTGAAAGTATTTCAGATAGTATAAGAATTATTGAAACGGTTTAAAAAAAATTGAAATGCTATTTCCATTCTTCTTAATCAATATTTGTTATTCATTTTAGTTATTGTGCATTCCTAAATATTCGTTATTGTGTATTGTTATAGCGATAAATCAAGAAATAAATAGTCTGTGCTCTCTAGTTGCCTGGGTGAAACGTGATGGAGCTATGTCCTTGCCCAATCCTTGCTCAGGCATAATTTTATTTTAAAACAAGTATAACCCGTAAAAACAAAGTTTTTCACTATAAATCCTTTATATGCGTGGCGGCGAGAGTCCTCTCGTCCTCTGGCTTGAGATGGCTGCCACCTATGGGTCAGATGATTGTCTGCCAGTATTAAGCAATTGGTAATTAAATATTTAATTTGTTTTCCCTAAACAATATAAAATTTTGGAGAAAAAAAAATTTCACAAACATTAATTGTCTTGCACAACGAGTCTGTGTGCAAAATGTCAGCTCGATTGGATCACGGGAAGTGGGTTAAAAAACGACTGAAAGATTTGCACGGTCGTAAGCAAGCAAGCAAGCACGCAAGCAAGCAAGCAAGCGAACTTAATATAAAGGATTTAAAAACGAGAATGCTTACTGCTAGGATATTCCTTAAAACGGCAGGGCCATATTAAGCTGTAATATACGTGTTCATACCTATATGCAAATCAAATACGTGTCTGCTGAGAAAATTATCTTTTGCTTCTTGTTTAAAAATGCAATTAACACTTATCAGAAATCTTGCTCTGTCCAGCGTTGAAGGATCACCTCCTCGTTCTGAGACCACAACTTCTGTTTCATGTTCTCTCTTTTCTCTATTCACCATACAAACTGAATATCAATTTTCTTGGGTGTTGAAGATGCACTACTTTGCTATGTTTTTCTAGGCAGTGTGTGCACATAGCATGGTAGGCTCTGGACATTTTGTTTAAATGTGCTGTCAAGAATCATTTATTAGCTTGGATGGCAAGCCCCAACTGATGGAGTATGGAGCCAGTTCAAATCCATTAACTGTACAGCGAGAATAAATCGGAATTGGAGCGCTCATATAGACACATGTGAGAGACATACATTGTGTAGAAGATATCCAAGCATTAGTGGTAAAGGACAGATATTTGTGGTACAGATAACATGGATAATACAGAATTACGCTTTCAAAATGGTCCAAATTGATTAAAATGAAAATCAAAATGTCGATATACGTAATCAAAATGCTCAAGAACATATTCCAAATGCACACAATACAACTTGATTATCCAGTCAATATTATTACATAAATATAAGAGAAAATATTAATGAGACTTAGGCTTCTTTGATATAATCATAATAATTACACTCTATACTACCCACCAATTACTGAACCAATGATATGCTTGTCATTGTATAAAGCACCTGCAAATAATAATTAGCCTCACATTCAGATTTTCCTTTTTTTAAATCACATTTTTGCATGCTTTTTAATTATACGTCGTATATTAAAAGAATATTGGCCATGAAAATTATTTGAGAGAATTACTCCTCTTAAAGCTTTCGTGACTGCAGGGATTCATCTTCTTGGTTCTTTCGGTAAAGTCACGTAGAAGGGAAGTAATTCCTTTGTCAATGCGCCCAGCTTATATATATGCTCCAAGCTCGTGTGCTGTTTCATTCAGACTCTGTCGCCTCGACGGACCTGGTTTTCACCTGAGGACGGCTGCTTGCGTTGTGGCCGAAACGTCGTGAGAATTGTTTTATTATGTTTTATTTTTATTATTTTATTACTTCCCTTCTACGTGACTTTACCGAAAGAACCAAGAAGAGAAAAATTACTCCTCTTGTCCCACAGTGATATGCAGGACACACATATCCTATTATTCGCAGGGTTATGGACGATTTTACTCTTCTTATCTGCACGTAAAAAAAACATTGCAGATAACACTGTGTAACACAATTTTGTTTCTGGGTAGTAAGTGTTATTTCGTAATTGCTTATGCTTAAAAAGTATAGAAAATGGCTATTATTCCCCACAAACTTTGCTTTTGTGACCAGGACAGTGATATTTTGAAATGTATCTATTTTCAATGAGAAAATGGCCGAATTTGTGTCTTTTCCTTCAAATAAAGTCAGAAAAAACAACATATCAATCAAAATTAACAAGTATTTATACTAAAGTAATGCAAAAATTACTACAAAATATTTAAAATTGAGTAGTTTTTCGAGATTCACGATTATACTGTAAATCACTTTCACGATTCAGCCCCCAAATGTAGTCTTCCATCATGGTCTCGTTAAACTGTCCTTGGTAGCGGTGTTCAAAGTCCAGTATATCCTGGTGGAAGCACTCGCCTTGTTCCTCCGAGTACGCTCACATGTTCTCCTTTATCAAGATGAGCATCAAGGATATGGACTTTGAGGGACATCCTACAGCCCATTGTGCCATAGTTCTTCACCAGAGTCTCAACCAACTCCACTTAGTTTTCGACCTTGTAATTGTCCAGGAATCCACGAACCACTGCGACAAAGCTGTCCCAAGCCGCTTTCTCCTTACTAGTGAACTTCTTGTGGAATTAATTGCACTCCAGGATCTTCTTTTTCTGTGGTCCGACGAAGACACCGGCTTTGACCTTTGCCTCAGACAGCTTAGGGAAGAAGTCATTTTTTTACCTACGTGACTTTACCGAAAAAACTAAGATTATGAATCCTTGCAGTCACGAAAGCTTCAAATCTACAAGTACTTGGAGGCTGCCGACTCCTTATTTACAGCTCTGACAAATTGTTTCATAAGGCCCAATTTGATGTTCAGTGGTGGCATCAGCACCTTCCGGGGGTCCACCAGCGGCTCCCACTTGACGTTGTTCCTCCCCACAGAGAACTCGGTCCGCTGTGGCCAGTCCCGCCTGTGGTAGTGCGCCCTGGTGTACCTGCTGTCCCAAAGACAAAGATAGCAAGGAAACTTAGTAAAGCCGCCTTGGAGACCCATCAGGAATGTCACCATTTTGAAGTCTCTGATGTCCTCCCAGTCGTACTCATACTTCAAGGCGTCCAGCAAGGTCTTGATGCTGTAGCAATCCTCTGAGGTGCACCGAGTGAGCCAGGGAAAGAGACGGGTACTTGTTAGCATTATGGAGCAGCACGGCTTTGAGGCTCCTGGATGAGCTGTCAATGAAGAGGCGCCATTCATTCTGGTTACAGGCGATTCCGATTGCCTCGAACAGACTAGTCAAATTGTGGTAGAAGCAAAGCCCATCTTGAGGGGCGGGGAAGCTGCAAAAAGGTTGGTGATGCTTCCTCTGATCTGCGACTTGCACACGTTCATCCAACAATTTCCACTGATTGAGTCTATACGTCAAAAGCTCGGCATTGGACTTGGTGAGACCAAGATCTCTGATCAAGTCGTTGAGGTCTTTTTGGTTGGGGTAGTATGGGTTTCTTTCCTCATCTACACCTCTGAAATTGTCATCTATTCTACAACGTCTTCCTCACTCTCTGACTTTTCGCTCTCTTATAAAGAAGGCTGCTATCTCTTCGAAGGAGTGGGTATGGAGAGCTCATGGCAGTATGACACCGAGGCGATGGATGAAGGAAAGTCTGGATACGTGATAGGAGTACATTCTTACCAGTCCGACGTTTATAAGGGTCCACCATGCAGAAGTAGCAGTTGCTTGAGTGGTCAGTGAGTTCCCACCAAATTCTTGGGATAGCGAACTTCATGGCTCTCTTTTCCCCTCTGTACCATCCTACAAAAAATACATTTATTTCACCCATGACTAATGTCTAAGAGATCCTCGCAACATTTTTCATATATGATATATTTTTTTCAATAACATTGAAAATTGTAAAACATTTTAAAATTAAAAACTTTTACAATTTTTTTTTACAAATTTTGTAACATAAAATTCCGAGCAACACTTGTCCATCTTACCTTCCAGAGTTTTTTTTCATTGCTCGCAGGTGTGTCTTGATCCCCGAACAGGCATGCCGAAATATGCCTTGTAGACCTCACACATCTTAGCAGATGCTTCCACAGAGTACTTTTTCGCTCTTGTCTTGATAAATTGGCCGCAGACACAGCAAACTGTGTCTGCCGGATGCTTGCAGCCTCTTGATGCCATCTCAGAAAAATGCAGATATAGATCCACTTAGGCAGCTGGAACTAAACTGAACTGGTGGGCTTAAGGCCCCTGTATTTATCCTACTATTTATATTACTGGAAAGTTATAGAATGTTCTATAAGTTACTCCAAGTTTACTCAGCACTGAATATATCTGGAATGTTCTGGAAAATAGGTACATTTAAAATATCACTGTCCTGATCACAATAGCAAAGTTTATGGGGAATAAGAGCCATTCTCTATTTGAAGCTTTCGTGACTGCAGGAATCCATACTCTTTGGTTATTTTGGTAAAGTCACGTAGGCAGAAAAATAACCCTTACTGGCAGCTGATCTATATTTACTAAAGCAGTGCGTGGCCTCATTTGCAGTTAAACTATGCTATGTGCAACTGGTGCATTGACAATTTGATTACGCATAACTTGAAATGCTATAATTTATGCACGTGAAAAAAAAAATGCCGTGAAAATTAGTATTTTTTTTATTGTTGGCTCTACCGCAATATATATATAATGTCTGTGTATGTGACATTTAATTATGCCACAGCAAAACATGATATAGATGTTTCTTATATGTCCATGCCAAATATGTGTTTATATAATATATATACATACATATGGTTGGTCATGTACATGAATGGCACGTGGAGTTTGAAGATGGTATTCGGTCTGTTTCCTCTACGTGAAGTCAGCCTTTATTGAGCACCAGTGCTTAAGTTCCATAACATATACGAAGTGATGCGTGAACAAAGGGGACACTTTTACTTCAGGAATTGTAATGCAATTGTCCACTGCTGTGATGTGTGAACATCACCACTGGGAAGAAAAAGGCAGCTGGGTGTGGCACTTCCCGCAAAACCGCCCTTAATGTGGAGTACAATTCTTCATATAAAATTACCAAACCACACGTGGCCTTACAGTGGCCACGTGTGCAAGGAAGCGATAATGAGTTTTGGATATGGTTTTTAAGGAAAGTCAAGAACTTTTTCCTGATTCTGTATTATCCACTAAATCCAACAAAAAACATGTTTTTACAAAACACCATAGTTATCAAGGTTTTCAATACATACAAAGTAAACATACTTGCAGCTCTCTCTCTCTCCTTATTCCTGACCTCAGTGATCAATTACTGGTGCATGCTGTGCTCATAGACACGGGCAAAATGCCATTGCTTCTAAGCCTCCACTGTGACCTGGCCTAATGAGCTCCTGTCGACCTTGACATAAAATACGATTAGCAGATGAGTATCATATAATTTGCCTGGGGAATAATCTCTCATAATCCATTTATATCAGGACACAGACAATGTGAACTGGTATTTTGAAAGTTGCCTTGGACAGAATGCTATTTGAATGCAATATGACGTCTGTAGATTTTTTTTGTACAGACTAGAGTTTTAGTGTGGTTGTAATGTGCACCATTAACGTTATTAAATGGCCTGTCGCCTCGCTTCATCGCTTATGTTCACCAATGTAATTGTTTTGTAAATATTGCCACAGCAATACCTATGAAAAACACAAGCTGGAAAATAAAGCTGCAATTCTGAAGACAAAAAAAGCATCAAGAGACAAATCGACAAATATAAAAAAATGCCCTCTTGTTCATGATACATGGAAATATATGTTTTTACGTGTGAAATAAATACTACATTCACACCTTGCCTTGGTATGCACATGCGATTTTATTTATTTGTAATTATTTCGCTTATTTACCCAGGAAAAACTCTGTGTTTCAAGTCTCGTTTTCAGGAGAGGCCTGCTAAGTTTTCGCAGTCGGGGTCGATGGTCGAACTTGTTAATCCTACTCTTTGGTTCTTTCGGTAAAGTTACGTAGAAATAAAAGAAAAAATATATAAAACTACGACGTTTCGATCACAACACAGCGATCGTCTTGTGTTGTGTTGTGATCGAAACATCGTGGTTTTTATTTTTATTACCGAAAAAAACAAGAATAAGTCTACATTATAGACTGCCAATACGCTCACTCAGGTTAAGAACCAGGCTACAGTCTACATTATAGACTGCCAGTACGTTCACCGAGGTTAAGAACTAGGCTACAGTCTACATTATAGACTGCCAGTACAGTACATTCACCCAGCTTAATAACCATTGCTACAGTCTACATTACAGACTGACAGTACACTCACCAAAATTAATTACCAGGCTACAATCCACATTAGTGTTTTTTTATTCACTTCTTTTTTATTATTATTTTATATCTACGTGACTTTACCGAAAGAGCCAAAGAATATGAATTCCTGCAGTCACGAAAGTTTTAAGTTAAAAAAATTAAGTTTGCCTCTTCATGCAATTACAATGATACACTGAATCAGCAATCCAACTTCATCAAATCAGAACTTGTCATCACAGTAACTAACCTTGATCTTATAGTATAATTTGGCTTAAGTGGAGTGGATGTAACATTACCATGCGCTCCCATACAATGCCAGGGTGCCAAAATAACGGTTAATCACACAACAGCTATTACATGCTCTGCAATGCATTCAACATGTTTTGCCATTCAAGTGTATCAGAATTCCAAAAACAGTTTCTCCTATCACATATCCTGCAAACACAGACCTTATTGTGTAATTTATCAATCCCATCAATAGGTCACCACAAATGAAATCGAGTGTACACAGAGAACGTGTTTTTTGCTCTGATGGTCACTATGCATGATTTATTTAACCTGGACAAATACATCCCCTCACTGTGAATTACTGACGTGCGTGCAAAGGTAGCTTGCACCCGGGATACACCAACGAATTGTGGGTCCCATTGATTTTCATTTGTGTGCTGAGTGGTTTGTTCGGGGTATTTTGGGGACACGGGGAGAGTGGGAGGTGTTAAAGGAATGAGGAGAATAGATCCTCTGTATTCTTCTAAGACGAGATCGTCTAAAGACACGATGGAACAATATTTGATCATTTAATGGCGTGGTTTTGAGTGTTTTGCCTGTGAATCCTAAGATGTACGATAGTTAATCCGCGAGTAATGTCGATGGCTGGTAATGTCAATTGGAGAGTGCAGAGCATTCACATGCTTTCAGCGGTTCGTCAAACCCGGGATTAATAAGTTGCGTCATTTCCACAGGGGCTCACCAAACCAATGGCCAAATTACGATTTTGTTAACATGTGAAAACTCATCTAATCCCCCTTCCGATGAATTTCACATGATACATTCCACAGTTTCCATGGACCATAAGTGATAACAGAACCTCCAGAGGAAAAGCAAATAATATTATTCTGCACAATATATGTTTCAGTCTATTTTTGTTCATTCTGTTCTTGTGTACAATGGCAATGTGTTCAGGAGCAACATGCCAATGTCGAGGTCTGCTAGCCACGAGAGGGCTGCAGGAGACAGTTCGTGTAGTTGTACTATTACACATTGCAACTCACATATCAGTGGCAATAAAGGAAACCCCAGTGTGTGTGCCGACAAAGACATTTAGTTCAGAGCAAGCATCAATAATGAAATATCTAACAGCTAATTACCACGTGACAAAACTCACGTCTCATTTAGGATATATCAGACAACTTGACGTACACACTATTTGGCGTTTTGCAATTTAAAAAAATTAAGGGAAACATTTAATGGCTTACACGTACGCCATTAAAATGTATTAATTATCCTGCAATAATTGATCCCCAGTGCCCCGCCACGGTGCTGGCTAAAGCTCACGAGCGGCCGTGCTGTGTGCAGACAGCCGCCTCCACAGAATCATGCTGGCCTCAAGGGGAATGAGAGATTGATGCCGGGACTATGCTGCAAAACTCACGATCTAAATGGGGATAGAGAAATACTGAACACATGCGTAGTGGGCCCAATTGAGTCGAAGACGTACTTCTTAGAGGCAACATGTGTTTCACCAACACGAATACACAAAGAGGTAGCTGCCCCTTTACCAGATAACAGCCTAGAGTGTTGGACCACCCGGCTAACTACACTAACACACTGCGAGTTAGCTACAACGGACCGGACCCCGGCTCGGGTTCCGGACCACGTGTTGGAGACTCTTGTGGACGTAGATCTTCAGATGACGGTAGCAACAACCAGCCACGGTCCCTGCAGGGACCCGGCTTATATGCTCCCGAGTCGGAGCCGGCTCCGCCCTTGGCCTCGCCCACCTACGAGAAAGCTCTGGCTCTCTCTCGACTCTTCTTGAGACAATTTTGCCGTAACACGTGACCACCCCTTAGCCCCCACCTGGGGGCCCCCTGTAGACTTTGCCGGTCACGTGCCTTCGGGGTCAACCAGAGTGCCATGGCCCAGCGTAACCCTGTCTCTGGGCTAACAGTCTCCCACTCCCTGCGGTGGGAGACGGCACTGCACGCCACGCGTGGTGCCACTGCGCTATTCCAGCGCTCACCAAGCCCTCACTAGGGCTGGTACTACACCCACCTACGGGGTGTCCGCGATGACGGTGCATCACACGCCGTGCCTTGCTAGAGCCGGCAATACTTGGTGACATGCACGATGCTGCTGCATCCGTGATGTCTGCGATGTGAGTACATCGCACGCCGTGCTCCTCTAGGGCCGGCACCATACAGTGACATCCGCGAAGTCACTACAAATGTAATTTCACGTGATTTGGAACGGTCACAATTCGTACGTTCACTCGATACACTAACCTTTAAACATTGCATGCCAAACGCGCGGTGCTATTTATGTGTATGGACAGTTGAAGAAATTAAATAGCATATTCAATTTTTTGAAAAGTTACTTTTGTGAGTTGAGTCACTGGTCGCGGTGGAGCATCGGTTAGCACACTGTGCTATGAGCCTGGCATTCAGCAGCGAGTGATTTTTCAGCGCATCCTTGAACCCCAGTACGCCTTCACCAACCTTCACTTACCAGCGAGGTGAAGTATGGGCAAGCATCCACTGTGACCGACACCAGTATAGGGAGTCCATACATTTCAAAGTACCCGGTGAAATAGGAATGCACTTCCTTAACAGTTCCAGATATGGCCTATGTATCGTTTTTGCCAATAGGTCTTTGGGCAATTACGATCAGT